AACATCGTAACCAAACAAACTTGTTGGATTAACCTTATCATAACTGTTAAGAGTCCACTGAGTGTTGCTAACTCCAGGGGCTTCTAATTCCCCCAAAAAATAACTCTTGCACGTCTTGCGTGCCTATGTTTCTGATCAGGTTACCGAGCCATCAACAAAAGAAAAAGGCGCTCGATCGCAACTTGCTCTTGCATTTTCAGAGCATACGATAATAAGAATAACACTTTTTTCTTTGACCTAGCCTGTATATTACTTAATTGCTTCCATTCGTTTTAGTTTGTTTTGCTACAACTGATAGTTGGATTTTGTTTCACTACTCCATCGTTAATCTGCTAAGGAAGGAGATTTCCATCAAAGTGTCTGCATGTTCAAGAAATCGCGCAGTAAAAGATCTTGCAAATTGTTAGGCGGTACTCAAAAAAAAAAAAAATTGAGCCATTAAGAGAGCAGAAGACAAGGTAGAGATCGACGTGGCTAGGTCACGTTCTTGGAATGGATCATCATTTACATCCACGAATCGCTCTCACATGGGTACCAGCAGGTAGCAGGAATCGGGGTCGACCGAGAGAGTCATGGAGGAAAACAGTGGAAAGGGAGCTTGAAGAGAAAGGACTAAAATCTTGGGACGAGGCGGCATCAACGGCAGAGGATAAGATAGTCTGGAAGTAGAGAGGCAACAGCCCAGTTCTTCATAGGAGAACGGAACAATGATGGTGATGACTCAAAAAATTCCGCATAGAAACTCAATACCAACTGACTGATAAAAATGACTGTGAGTAAATTGGTAGCGTAATCATACCTTTTTAGCGATAATCTTATCTGTGAAATTACGATACTTCTACTAATATTTTTAGATGAAAATATAGTCAATATTTTGCATTTTAGTTTGCAAGTTTGTCAAGGCAAAATGTAACCAGTCTAGATGCCGGTCTAAATGGGAAATTCTAGACCGCAGTCAATATCGATTTCAGCCAATCACATTCGTGAAATTTGTAGTTCCCAGTCCTTGTCAGAAACAGCCATATAATAATATTGAATAGCGGCCAGGGAAAGCATTCAACTAATTAAATCTACTTGGTTTACTTCTTCAACTGAGTCCCTTGACTATAACGCACAACAAAGTCGTAGTTGTGAATATAAATATAACGTTTTATTAAATTGGTTTTGTTTATTAGTAATTTATCTAATTCCATACATGTTCAGGAAATAAAATTCAAACCTCTATTTGGTCAAATACATGCTTATTATCCAACAGATATCTCTCTTTTTTTGCGATAAATATCCCATAAGAGCAGCAGTACAATAAAAGCTAATAAAATATCTCCACAAAACTCTTAACTAAATATTACAATTTACCAATACAAAATACACACAAAGTTTTCTCATTCTGTCGAAAACCGAAAAACATTTTTAAAACAAGTGGCACTGAAACGTTTGGCTAAACAAAGCGAACTCAGTCAACCATCATATGGAGCCATACTGGTTCTCAAACCGACGATGGAAAATTTTTGCATCAGAAAAGAAGTTTTCCCAGTGGAAGAAATTTCATTATATATTAAGTCAAATTATTCTCGCATTATGATTGGTTCTTACCTATGATCTATTGGAGGACAGACTCATAGATGACGTCATTGACACTGTTGTTTGTTTATTGGATGGCAACAGTAATATGGCTGCGTGAGGTAGTGACACCGTTCTTATAGGCATTTTTCAGAGTAGAACATGTTTCCTTTATTTCCTCATAAGCCAAGTTTATTTTTACTGACAAACAGAAAAATTCGAGAAGTTTAAAATGTTGTACCAAAAGCAATTGATTCATGTCACTCGTCTGGCAATTTTGATACGACACACGTTGAAGAGATACGATGGATTTTGTACGTGGTGTAAACTGCACAAGACCTGCCGCAAGGTTGTACCACTTTGAACACGATTGCCTTAAAATAACTTTTGCTTACTATCACTGTCAATGTCAATGACATTGCTCTAGATACAGGAGCTAGTCATTTCAAAGTCTCTTAATCAGTTTTAAACTTCATTAACGCCCCGTCCACACTACGCCGGAGGAATTTAAAAACGGAGGTTTCACTCTGAAAACGCATCAAATGTTTTCTGTCCACACTGCGCCGGAGGAAGTTAAAAAGCAACAATCACCGGTCATTTTGGATTTGTGTTTGAGGAAACCTCGGTCAGGGAAATCACATGATCATCGTGACGGCATCGTTTTCGAAAAGCACCGTTTTCAAAATGTTTACCGTCCACGCAAAAACGTAAAGCCGGCGTTTTCGAATTCCTCCGGTTTGATGAACGTTTTCGAAAAGCTCCGTTTTCGTGACGGATTAGTGTGGACGGTAAGCGGTTGGCCTAACAGTAGAAATAAAATTGCGTTTTCAAATTTCTCTCGCGTAGTGTGGACGGCGCCTTAAATCAGTTAAACATTAAATGAAGCTCCTGTGTGTCTTTGTGTTTCGCGGACAGATAACAACTAAACCTTTGTCCACGTCCATGTCTGTTTCCGTGGCGTATATCAAAGTTAAATATGCGAGGTTCGCCGTCTATTCCATGTCAGAGATATTCCATTTCCGCGAGGGTATATTAACATTCCCGTTGGGTTTTTCTGTCATTGTGCTTTGTACAATAATCTTCTCCGCCTTGGCTTGGTTGTAAGTTCGTTAAATTAGCAGAAGTCTACTGTTATATTATCTCTTTGTTTCGTTTTAGTTCTTTAGTGTCCTTGAATGTTCTTTAAATCATTCGTTAAATCGCCAGGTCGTTTCACTTGCTTGGTTTAGTCGCTTCGTTCCAAGTCTATTAACATTGAAATATCCCAATCCAAACGCCACTGGCGTGAACACAGAACTCCCTGGTCTCGCTAAAGAACTAATAATTAAATGACGAGTTTCTAACAAACCATCTTCCAAGCCTGGCGTACAGTCAATCACTGTCGCTCTCATCTTCCACGTTTTGCACAAAGAGCAATGCATTGGCTTCAATTCCGGCAGTTTCCAAAGTTTGGTCTTCATTTGATGAATCAAAAGCGTAGATTTTACGTGGAAAGTTTGAAACAAGGACGAATTCAGCCGGTGACTCCTCATCGCAAAACACAAAGTCATACAAAGCCTATAGGGAATAACAATGAATCGTTATCTTCATTGATAAAATTTATACTGTTACTGTTATTGAATTTCTACATTTCCTATTGGATCTCTTCTTGTCTGTTATTAGTCACAGTGTATAACAGACCGCCGACCTTATCTGGTAAATAGATGTGCGATTGTTTACATTTTGTTCGGCCCAACAAGTTTTCCATGTAAAATCATCAATTATGAGAACCATTTGCCATGAAAATATAACACGTCTTAACAAGTCGACAAGACCAACAGGTCTCGAATTTTAAAAAAAAAGAATTGAAAAAATTCTCACCTGCAAGGAATGCGACTTGAGAAATCTCCTCTCCAGCCGTTTGCCGTTGGGTAGTTTAATTAGTACACGGATTGAATTGGGATCAGAATTCTCTGGTTCTTCTGGAATTCTTAATTTTCTATCCAAGCGGTCCTGGGCTATAGACTTAAAAAAACAACTACGCATTACAGTGGAGCCTCACAATAGCGGTTAACATTCCACAAAGGCCAACGAATTTTTTTGTCCGAATCATATGTCAATCAACACCGTTTACTCCAAGCCACTTAGAAAAGAGTTAACCAATCAGAACGTTACTTAAGAACAGAGGATTGCGATCTCCTTCTCAAATAAACCAATAACATTGAAGAATAAGAACAACACAAAACCGAAAACCCAACAAAGTGCGAAGTGTTGCGGACATGTCAGTAAACTTTGGCATTTGTTGATTGGTTTATTTCAATCCTAAATTTTGAACGCTTTTCAACGGTTTTGGTTTAGTTGTTGCTATATAAATTTTTAAGCTAAACTTTGCGAGCGAGATTTATAATTATGATAATTCGCCTTCAAGGACTGAATGTCTAAAAGTGTATATAACACAGAGGAGTCGATAGTACTGATGTATTCACGTCAAACAGACCGTTGCTTGGTGTCACGAGAAGCTACCAGTCCATTTTTCTCAGTTTACGTTTTGATTGGTTAGTTTTTTCTAAGTGATCCGGTTAGAGTAATCGCACTGTAAACCTCCCTTCAACGTGGTCCAGCGTGGCTGTTGTGGAGAGTTTCGAAGTTCATTTGGCGAAATTGTCCGTCTAAATTGTCCAGTACATCGAAATCTTGCACAATCTAACAAAGCTCTCATTACCTGTGCCCTGTCTCTTCGAGCTTCTTCTTTCTTTCGTTTAGTCTCTTCCTCCAGTCGCTTTTTGTCCTCTTCTTCACGTTTTCTTCTTTCCTGTGAAATTAAGATAAATTAAATCAACTTTGATTGCCTTATTACCAACGCAATATCAATATTAGCGGCTGCACGGAACGAAGTGATGTCAATTGCAAGTGAAAAGAAGTTGTACAAATAACATTATAAATAAACCAGCAGCTCGCAAGCGATAAAAGCCATCAAAAGGCAAAAAAAGCTGTAGCGACTTACTTTCTCCTGGTCAGCTCTGACAGACTCGTAATAGGCCTCGTCTTGTTCATCACGCAACTGTTGAGCTTGGGTACGTTCCTGCCTGTTGAAAACAAACAAAAAAAACATACTACATACAAAAATTTGCAATGATTGTCTTTCCCTCTGTCATTCTATAGACTACAAATGGTTGAAGAGAGAGACATTACCGCTCAATGCGGAAAAGCCAGTACAGCCCCCCGTCCCCCGCTTCTCCCCTCCTCCANCCTCTGTCATTCTATAGACTACAAATGGTTGAAGAGAGAGACATTACCGATCAATGCGGAAAAGCCAGTGCAGCCTCCCGTCCCCCGCTTCTCCCCTCCTCCACGTCTTTTGTTTTGGAATAGGGGCCGTATTCGTGACTCTGACGGGGTACTCAAAGGGTTTCCCATTCTTATTCTCTTATCAACAAAAGCAGATCATCGTCCATTGTCGTCAACACTGACATGTTGCTACGCAACTAAACAAATGACAAGCTCATTCGCATTTGACTACTTTTCATTTTTGTCGCCATTTCCCCGCCATTTTGACCAAGGCTTTTAGCATGCGACGAAATGCAGTGTTTTTTCACTGCGCTACGTCACGCAATCATCAATGCAGATAGCCGTACGTTACGTCACGCAGTCATTAGTGCAGAATAGCCGTGCTTTACTAACCTGTCCGCTCTGGCCACTACTAAGGCTGGCTCGTTATCTTCTATTAAACGCGCTAAATGTGAAACATATCTATCCACATTCATCAATCCTGTACAAAAACAAAATCATACCATACGTGTAGGTACAAAGTTCTCAAATATTGTTGGGTCAATGTTAAGGTTTATGAATAGCACGAGAAGCTAGCTGTCACCAAAGCTTGCCGGGTCAACGATAGTTCGGTTTTCATAATCCAATTTTTCGTATTTTTCTTATAAACAAAAAAACACCTGCACGGATCAATCTATCATGCCGAATTTAGAACGTGTGAAGAGTTCTATAAAAATCCGTCACAAAGTCATGAAAATATACATGCAGGACCCCAAATTACAAAGAAAATATGTATACCAGGGGCAAGCGTTGCCTGGCATAAATTTCTTCGTAAAAATTGACTACTAGTTTAACTTCCATTATTTTTATGAGTTTGCAAAGGATTCTAATGAAACTTCTTCTCATAAAAAAAATGTAAAAGCATGAAAAATTAGTAAAAAGTATTATGGTCAACCAGAAAAAATGTACTCAGTTCATTCATACTAGTAATTTAAGCATCCATTTCTGTAAAGAGCATAACCTTTTCAGTTTCAATACTATATCAAAATCCTCTCTTATCCTGTCAGGGCGTCTATTTGAGTTCAACTAAGGCCAATGCATATTACCGCTAGAGAGAGACGCTTACATCACTATCACATAACATAGTTTTTACAAGTGACAACATACAGTAACTTGTGAAAACAAACCTTCCATTCGCCCAACAACCGTCATTCTGTTATCTCTAAGACATATCAAGGCCAGAAAAGGATAGGTGGCTTCACGAAGAGCACGGGAAACTGAGGCACAAATGAAAAACATTAATTTAGTACTTAACTAACTCCTGCACACGCAACTTCTTTACTCAGTTTACAAAGCCACAGGAAAACCAAGCAACATCTCCGTCAGTGACTCCCAAATAAAAGTACTACATTTTTGTTGCTGGAAATGGTCAGAAATGCAAATGTAGTTCCTGCATTAAGTTAAAACAGAGTATTGTACCTTTATATCCTTCAGTAGATTTCACATTTGCTGCCCAAAATAACATGTTTCCATTCACATATTCCCTAAATCCTTCATTTGTCATTGTTGACCTGATAAAAAGAATTGGATACAAACGAAGAAAACGGTTTTTCAACTGATGAATATAGACAGCCTAGAAATATATATTACCCATGAAGGGCATTCAGGTAGTGACTTGACAAAGGTTAGTGTTCAAAGCAAACGAGTAATGGGCACTGGAGTACAAACAAAATATATTTATAAACTTGTCCATTGTTCTAATGAAGATACTTCACTATTGCAGTGTATGTCTCTCCTCAGGTGTGTAAGTGGAAACTGGCATTTACAGCTGGGAAAATATAAATACCAGTGAGTATAGGATCACAGGCTTGGAGGGGGATCTGCAGCACCTTCCCCCGACCAGTTCCAGAAATTGTGAAATTTTTCAGGCAAAATGCTCATGATTTGGGTAACGGTGCATGGAAAAATCCTTGGAAAGTGTCAGAAATCTTTGTAAAATAGTCAAAAACATACATTAGTTTATTAATAGTATATATATGTTTATATAATAGTAATAATAACTTTATTTATATAGCGCCATTCCTACATTCAGGGCCCTTTACAAAGTTGGCAAATATTTAGCAATCATGTGATAAGCAAGATAATACATGGTTGCTTGTAGATATGGAATATCTCGTGTTCAACATTATATTGAACACATGAAAATAAATTCCATATCTAAGCATGCCCATCTATTATTCTCTATGTATAATAATAATTATCACAACATTCGGTGTATTTTACAATCTCAATCCCCTTATGCCTTGCCAGCACATCTAGATCAAATAAATCAATCTATATTTACCTGCAAAATTCCACTGTGTCCTGGTGCTCTGAACTATGAAGGTAGACTAGAAGAAAACGTAATTCTCTCTTGGCATCATCCAAAGCCTACAAGAAAATAAAACAAAATATTTTATGACTCCTAGCTGCTGAATGTTTGTAAATGTACAGGTTACCCATGCTGCTACTACCCCTAATAGAATTGCCCTAATTCACACAGCTCACTGACCCTGCTGGGAGACGGGGGTGGGGGAAGGAGGAGCTGTTGCAAAAAAAGTGATGGAGAATTGTACATACCTTTTTAAGGGGCATTACTCATGACTTGGTACTGCTTATGGTACCAAGCCAGAATTTATCTTGATACCTCTTAGGGTATAAACCAGAGTCAAGAGAGATAATAAGATAAAACAAAACAAAAAACAAAAAAAACAAAACAAAACAAAAAACAAAAAAAATAAAAATGAAAAGAAAAACTAGATCATACATGTAGTGCTAGGAATGTGGATGGTTTGTCCAATAAGCAGACTTGACCTGTAACAGGGACGTTTGAGAAATACTGTATGCCGATATTATTTTATACTCTTAGTTTTCTTCTTTACTTGGTTCTAACCTGACTGTAACTTCCTTGATAAAATGTGGGATGGACTGCTCCATACTCTGCTTCAAATTCTGCCTTAAACTGTAACACATCTTCCAGTGGAGTAGTTTGAGCTAGACCAAAGAGGAATAGACTGTGTTAAATTGCCCAATCAGGGTTGCCATCCACCGGAACAAAAAATATCCCTGACTTTTCACTGACTGTAAAGCAATTTTCCCTGACCCTGCATGATGACTATTCTGGCCAGGAATCAATAAAAATAAGGATGGCTCAGATAATTTTTAAAACAAAATTGCCTTGTCTATACAAAAACATCTAATAAAATAATTTGTGGCAACCTTAAGATAAAATTCCCTGACTTTTCACTGACTTTGAACAGGGATTAGAACACCCTGATCTGATACAAAACTCCCTGACTTTTTCCTGACCTTGAATAAAGCCTAATTTTCCCTGACGTTTTCCTGACCATGGCAACCCTGCCAATTCCTACAAGTAACAAGCTGAAGTACATCATTGTAACTTTATATCATTTCAATATTCAACTTTTCAGAATGACCACATGCCATGTGGTGAGTGACATGACAAAAAGTTCCAACACAATAATAAACAATAATACAAGTAAAATGTTACCAAAATCAAGTATATACCTTGAAATGCTGTTGGCCAGATAAATCTCACTGAAAACAGAAGACATTAATTTTAAGCATCTTGTGGTTGTCACTTTTTCTACAATATCACTACATTGTAAGTTAGAAAAAAATCTTTCTTACATGTACTTGAACGCTAGGGTTTCTGCTATTCAGTGCCAAAACCAGCAATCCCAATGTACACTGTCTTTTTAGTTGGTTTTGATTTACTAAGTTAAGCTTGAAAGATAGATTCTACCGGTATTAAATAATTAGATTTTTTAAGAACTTGGTCCTGAGGATTGAGTGTTCTCAATGATGCATGGCTCAGAGTGTCCTTCACGTATTGTTTCTTTTGAAACTAATTCACATACATCATTGACAAAAGGAGATTCAAGTCAGCAATCTTTATGATTAATGGTGCAAAAACCCAAGTGTGATTACCTTAAGTTTAAACCAGACAGGAACTGTAGGAGCAGGAAATTTAATTTCAGAATAAAGCTACTGGTTTTTTAAATGAAACTGTTGGGTTGTGACGGCAGGCCAGTGAAACACTCAGTTCATTAATATCAAATTGGAGTCGATAAAGATAAATGAGCCACCTTAACAAAATGAGGTGACATTTTTCATGTTAGCCCTTCATCACATAGCTCTGATGACAGGATAATGCTCAAAATGCCAGCTTCAAAACTCACTATGGCAGTTAACATACCTTTATCAACTTAATTAATTAATTAACCCCTTGAGTGCCTGACCATTGTGTACACTGTGTGCCACACCACTTTCACTGAAATTGGGTGTCTAGTAAAAACCTTCAGAATTATGCCATAAGCTTTTTCACTTAAGCTATGGACATGCACACATTAACTGAAAGGTCATAAAAGTATCTATTTAATGCTGTAAATTTCACTGAGGTTGACATAATTTGATATCCATATGACATCAGAGCAATGGGAAATCAGAGGTCTGTCAAAAAACCTCCTACGAGTCTCAGGTGCCAATAAAAGTTGCCGGGAGTTTAACTAAATCTCTTAAAATTTTGACGTACCCAGCACACCATATAGGCACCCGAGGGATGAAAATCACGACATACTGAGTACGTCATATAGGTACTCAAGGGGTTAATTTCAGGCACAACTTCCAAAAGCACTGCTCTATATTGTGTTCAATGAACATTCTCTTCAATAAAGTAAAATAAAAGTTTCAGCTGTTTGCTGTGTGTAATACCAATGAATCCAAGAAGATCTCTCACAATACTGGACGCAAATCTAAAAGGAAGAAATGGAATGGCCAGAGCCCAAAACAACCATCCCTGAAACAACAACACAATGGAATCACTGTTAGTATTGATATTCACTTACAAATATTTAAATAACATAAGTCTTAAATATATTGAGAAAGCAGGCACTAAATGTAAAAGACAGAGTATTCAATTGTTTATCTCTGACAGTCAGTAGCTGAACTTTAACCACAAATAAGTTTAGTTTGCACTATAGGGAAGACAAATTGCTTTTTACATAGAAATTTTCTAGTATGATTTACAAAATTAAATAAATGCATTCACTGCAGTCCTTCAGTACATCACTCATGGTAAACTTGTATGGGCTCATTGACTAATAATACCATAAAATTCAGACGATACCCATCCCCCATCTCAGCACCAATACCAGATGGCTACATGTAGGATTGAATATCAAAACTTAATTCTTGATTCAAAGAATCAAGGACCACATATCAAGTTTTGAGTTACCACCGTAAGCAACCTTCATGTAAACGGAAGATACACCTAACCTGGTTTTGTCTTTGTGCCACCACTACTGTTCTAGGTGTGCCGGTGTTTGCAGTAGTTCTTGAAAATTGGCTCTGGGTTGCTGAATCTTCATCTCTGCCATCATTCTCGTCGTCACTACCATCAAATGAGTCTTGCCGAGGGTGAAAAACTGGCTCTGACCCTTCTGCTTCATTCAGTGTATCTTGAACTGCCGTCTAAGCAATAAAATGATAAATGTTAAAGATGGAAAATAAATATCAGCATACCTGCCTACTCTCCCTAAAAATCTGTTAGTTTCATCGCAGCAAAGTGAATCCACAAACCTGCTGCTCCCCTATATGGCTTGTCAGTTCTTCGACAGATTTCAGGAAGAAATTGGGATTTCAAATTGACTCTCTACCATTATATCTATCCAGAGCTTATTGTTTTAGTTAGCCTCTTTATTGGGCCGAGAAGAGGTACTTTTGAACCCACAAAATTGATGATCTCCCAGATTTTTATTTAATATATTTTTACTTATACTTAATTTTTCAGGATTCTTTGATTTTACAGTTGGTTTATTCTTTCATTTTTAAAATCACACCCAAAGGCTATTTCAATAAAGATTCATCTATTACTAGTTAAATATAAATTTGCAGCTGTTGTTAAAAGAAAAACTGTTTAAATATCTGATGGTTCTTTTTTAACGGTGAATTTTAGATTTTTCAACTGTGTTCGATTGAGTTCGATTGGGTTCGAGTACTCCTGAAATCAAAGGCAACCGAACACTCTCACACAAATGTATTGGTTCCATTGTCCAATCGTTCGAAATCTTAAGTTCGATCAGGTTCGATTAAATTCGATTATCGAACAGTTCGATTAGGAACGTCGGACATTTCAAAACTTCACAGCGCACATATTAAATATGAAAGAATCAGAAACTTAACTATGATTCAACAGGTATTTATATGCTTATTCTAAATTCTACCAAAATTTGGCAATAACAAATTAATCTTAAATAAATTTTTAACTTGTAGTATGGAAACCAAAAGTAAATCACCTCGATATCCCAATTGTGCCTCTCAAGAACTGCTCGACACTCCTCAATATCGTTGTAACCAGTTATATCCTGAAAGAAAATAATTCTAATGATGCTTTTTCTCTTTACATCTAATAACTGAAGACGCTTTACACTCCAACCTGAAAATGAGCTAAAATCTCCGTTCGACAAGCTGAATCGTCGCATCCTTCCGCCATTTTGCTCCTGTTACCCACATTGCCTTGCGGGATAAGGTTTTATCCTCAGCCTCGTAACCACGATCTTTTTCTTTAAGCGTGACCAGAGCTAGCGTGACTAACGAATCTGAAGAAGTCACGTTATTAACCCGTAGGAGATTGATGGATAAAAAAGGTTATTCGGACTTTTTATACCCGGGCGAGCTCACTAAAAAGACATGGAAAATCTGGCAGCTCATGAAAAACTCGAAACTTTTTCCATGTCATGCGAAAGTCAAGAAGTTGAACAGAAAGCCTGTTCAAATAAGCATTGCGTTTAAGCTCAGGTATTTTGGAATAAGCGCGTTGTTGTTGTCCTAGGAGCGGCACTTATTCGGTGGCGGCGTTTATTGGCATTCAAGGTGTTGTCAAGTGCAGTGCTTTACTGTAGCCGTTCGACCCCTAGGTCTGGAAGCAGATATTCGAGAGTAATATTTAGTGGTGGCGGGGTGAAGATGGTCATATTATGGTATACAATTTCCGTTAGCTCCGTTTTCCTCCACTCTTAACGAGGAGAAGGGCTTGCCTTTCGTGCTTTTCCAGTTTTTAATAATCGCAAATATTTTTCCATCGCAGAAGATACCTTAGAAACGCTGCAGGCAATTTTGGGGGATTCTATCCACACCAAGCGAAGAAAATGTTATTTTGAGCCATAAACACAATGTGATCGAAAGCTCAGGCCCTCACTTGTTATTAATATATTTTTAGAAACAACACAACGTTTTTTAAAAACATGTTTCAACAGAATCTTCT